CCAATGTGAATGTCTACATGCACAGAAATGTACTAATCTGTCTACAATTTCAGGGGATTCAAGGGCTCCAAAGCCTACCTCTGGGAGCTCATGGGTGTCTAGATGCCTCTATGTGAAGGACAAAGAGAGTTGGATTGGGCCTGAGTTATCAAGAAGGCCTTCTGAAGAGCAAGTTGATCTCAAACTCTCATGAATCAAGACTGACAACTAGACTTTTAGAGCGTCCTAGGTTTCCAGATTTAACCATGTCCCTGGATTGTACATATTAGATTATTTTCAAAAAACAGGGATTTATTTAATCAGATAGAGAATTATCAATATTTCCAAAAATTTCCTTGAAATTGTGAGAGATCGAATGAAAAACAAGTTCTCAGGATAAGGCAGACAATCCAGATAACTGAAAAAGGAAGATACATGTTAGAGCCAAGGCAACGTGTGGTTAAATGTCCAAATCAAATGCTGCCACTGAGATGAGAGGCAAAAATTATCTTGCACAATTTTCCTTCAGAGATGAAGACATGAGTCCCTTAAATTTCAAGAGATAACCAGCCAATCCTCTGTCAGGTCCAGGAGAAGGACTAGGCATTGAGCTGGGGGGAAAGGGAATGAATTTTGGGAAATTTTAAGCGGTGATATTGATTAAAGGGTGGCTGAGACTCAAAGACATCCTATTTCAAAGACGGGATTGAGGAGTGTGTGTGTGTGTGTGTGTGTGTGTGTGTGTGTGTCTGTCTGTCTGTCTGTCTGTCTGTCTCTGTCTGTGTTGTGTGTGTGTGTGTGTGTGTGTGTGTGTCTGTCTGTCTGTCTGTCTGTCTGTCTGTCTGTCTGTGTTGTTTGATTGAGAAGAGGGAACTTGAATTTTGGAAGTGTTGTCTCATTTAGCCCCAAGTGAAGGAACTGTGTTCAAGGCCCGTGCATAGAAGAGTGATCACTGAAGTCGTCCAGAACTGGGGTCACCATCTGGCTCTCTCCTTCATGAACTTCACAGCCCTGGAAAAATTGTTTAACTTCTTTGAGACTGAGTGGAATTAGTAGCAGTACCTTCTTAGACTTGTGGGGAAGACCTACTGACCAGACCCATAAAAGGCAGCTGGATAGTGCTCAGTCTGTCGCGAGCACCCAGTAAGTGTTGAGCAGTATTATTTTGTCTTTAGTGTAGGATGTTTTAAACTTCTTTAGTTAAAGTGTAGGAAAGGGATTGTTTTATATATGGTATATCAAAGGAGAGAAATGAGTTTCAAGCATGTTTGAATCCAAAACTTTAAAATATTATTCTCTTTCTCCATCTCTCCATTCATCCTCCATCTTATCTCTTTCTCCACGGTCTTCTCTCCTCCATCTCACTCTCTTCATCCCTTTGTCAGTCTCTCTTTTTCCATCTCTCTCCACATCACCACGTCTCTCTCTTCACCCATCTTCCCATCTCTTTCCCTATTATATTTCTAATTTTCTCTCCATCTCTGGTTCTCTCCACCTTGTCATCTCTCTGTCTCTCTCTCTCTCTCTCTCTCTCTCTCCATAAGTCTTCCCCTCCCCCACTTCTCCTTTTCTGTCTCTCACTATCACTTTTGCCCTCTCCCTTTCCTTTCCTAGGTTCTAATTTCTGGTGTAGAACTTTATCAGGCAAGCTTTCTCTTTTCAGTAGTAAGGATGACCCCTGACATCTTCAAACATACCCAATCCATAAAGCTGTAATTTTCAAAGCTTTACTTTTATCACAGCTAACAGTGTACTCTATTTAGAGAATAAAATTGTTCTAAGAAGCACTTTATGAAAACAGCAGTCTCTGTTCCCTGTTTAGTTTCCTCCCCCAGAACCATCACTTTCAACCTTTTAAAGATGATTATCTTTGTATTTATCTCTAAATAACATGGTGCATTTTGATTTTCATGTTTTAACATTGTATCTTGAGCCCCATCTATAGAAATTAGGTAATTTATGTTGCCACCAAATATACTTATTCTTAGATTCAATTCTCAATATAGCCAAATTACTCTCCTTGTTAGGCCATTATTCAGAAATTGCATTATTATTACTATGCAAAATACTCCTCTTAGTTGATTCAAGTAGTTAACTTCGATTGAATTTCCTTCATATGTAACATTGTTTTCAATGTAGTAAATATTTGTTCCTCTTTTTCTTTTGCTTATTTTTCTATTAATTCATCAGTGATTCAATTTTCCATTCTCCAGTTGCTTATTCTTATTTCCAGACATTCCAACATACTCTGGCTTTCATCCTCTTACTTTCATGGAACATACCCTAAACTAGCTTTCTAACAAAGAGTTTATGGAAAAAGATCTTCTATACATACCTGAAAACATTTCTTATAATCTCATATTTAAGGAAGGAGAATAAATTCTTGCTTTTCATGATTCTTGGGAAGAAACTCTAGATTGAAAATGTTTCCTTCCAGAATTTGAAAGTATTGTTGCACTATTTTCTAAGTTACCAGTGTTATTTTTAAGAAGTACAAAGTATTTCTAACCTGAATCTTTGTGTACAATCTTAAATCTGAGAGGATCCAATTACTGAGATATTATGATGATGTGTTTTGGTAGCAGTTGACTTTTATCAATTGCCGATCACTTGATGTGTCCTTTCCATCTGGAAAGCTATAACCTTTTTTTTTTTTTTTTTTTTTTTTTTGACACCAGGGATTGAAGTTGGGACCTTGTGCTTATGAGGCAGGCAGTGGCATCACTGAGCTGGCCCAGAAAGTTATAACCTTTCATTAGAGAAAATATTAAAATTTTCCTCGATGATTCCCTGCCCCCTCATTTTTTCTATTCTCTTTTCTAGAAATCCTATTGTTTCTATGTCAGATATACTAGCCTGGTCTTATTCTTTTATTGTCTTAATTTTTCTCCTTTGTCTGTCTCTAATATATGAGAGATTTGCTTAACTTTATCTTTCTACACTAATAAGATTCCTTCAGTTTTAATTTTCATTAGTTTTTTTGTATACTACTTTTTCCTTTTATATAGCTTTCTTTTCAGGTTGTATAGATGCAATACTATCTCTTCTCTCTCTGAGGATGTGAAAATGTTCTTTTGAAAGTTGCTTTTCCCCCCTATTTTCTCTTATTTCCATTAAGTTCCTTTCTTTTTTTTTCTTTCTCTTGGTCCCTGTTTTCCACAGTAAATTAGTGCTGCTGTCGACTTCTCTCTCGTCATCTTTGTTATTATTGGCCTATGGCTTTATAAACATCCCTTATTCATTGCTGTTGTGTCCAGGTTATCTGTTCAAGAGTAGGCCCTGAAAGATCCAGTGAAGGATTTTGTGTGTTGATGGGAGTTGTCAGCACATTAGTGGCTTACAGTTGGCTGTATTGCTTTTATTAGGAAACCCTGATGTCTGTATCTCCAAGTTTTCTCTTTGGACTGGGCAAACATCTCAGACAGAGATCTTCCATTCGCTTGTCTAGAAGGTAAAGAACTGTTGGGGATATGCAGAGTTGGGTCATGAATCTGAGCACTGTGTCTAATATTTATCTAATCTTTGCTTTTAGAAAGGTCTGGCTCCCTCCACTATACCTGTTTTCCTCAGTCAGGAAATCCTTTCGACCCTCTGATTAGAAGAAAAAAAAAAACCTTAGTATTCTGCCAAGTTAAGGTGCCTAAAAATAGGAAAGGGAAGAAATGCGGCACTGAAATGATTCTTAAACAAACTTCTTCCTGATTCTCCTTTTTTGGTGCCATCTTCACTACATGCATATGTACCTGGTTCTACAAATACTTGAGTCTTAAGGGTGTGTCGAAAAGTACTTTTCGCAGTTCTACTTAGCCAATTCCTCTTGACAACAAAATATTTTTCTGCCACTGTTTTCCCCACTCCTTTTGTTTTTAAATGTTTATTTCACCTGGGTTTAAGGAGAACCGTAAAGAATACTTTGGTGCTCCGGGAGGCCATTTGTCTCTCAATGTTAGTATGATGTGCTCTACAGAACTCTGATCAAAGATGTTTGGATCACCTGTCTCACGCCCCTAATCATGTGATCTGGGTTCCCTCAGGAGTATGGGTCACCTGCTTTTCCTTATGATAGGCAAACTGGGACCACAAGATTGACAGTTGCAGGAGAATCATGCAGAGTGATGGCTCCCAAAAGAAAGGAGTGCGTCACTAACAAACAGGCACCAAATGTCTCAAACACAGGGCAGCTTTGTCCTCCAAAAGGGATGATCTTGAGGAGGCAATCATTTTCCTCAGTTGTTTTGTATTAAGAAATGTTGGCACCATCTCACAGACACTAGTTATCCAAGCAGAAATCACTTCCCTTGTCGTTTTTTTCCACTCTAAGCCTCAGCAACATCTGTTGGTGCTTAGTGCTCCTGAATCAATTGATTAGTGCAGAGGCCCACTGAAGTGCAAGGGGATCACACACACTGCCCAGAGAAGTTCCATACCCTGGGGAGGAAAGGAGGCCAGGTGGGAAGGTTTTCAAAGAACTCTGACACTGGGGCTTGGGGAGTATCCAAGGGATCAACAGACACAGCGTTCTTCCTTTGATGTAGAGGAGTAGAACAAAGAGGCATGCCATTTATTTATTTTTCTACTTTCACTGCTGAAGTCCTAGCTGGAAATTTTAAGTAATCGGCGTGCATCATTTTTGTGTAGATACTCTTTGGTCTTGTAATGATTTCTTTTGTGTTAATCTCTGAAACAAGATGTTTGAGAGATACAAGGAAACAGTGTCATCCTCCTTAACTGTTGAAAGTCTATGCGTCTGAGCTAAAAACAAAGACAAAGACAACAAATAAACTTTGAATCCCCTGGTCATGATGTCACAGTGATGCAGTGTAGAGGGGACAGGACTTTTGAAGGGCACTCTTAATGGCAACCTTTAAATGAATTCAATCCTTGGTAGCTCAATGACAATGTCTATGTTACTGTCCTTTCCCTACTTAACAAGAACAAAAGGCCACATCCAGATAAACTAGTCACTTGTGATGAGACATGATGACATTTTAATTTCTGAACTTTTCTGATATAAAATAGCCATGCAGGAGGCATCTGACAGTAAGCCTGAGGAATTTGGCAGTAAAATCATCGATCTGCACAGATTTTGGAAAGTCCAAAATGATCAGGTAAAACACAGTACTTTTATGTAAAGAGAAACATTACATTTTCATATGCTTTTTAATTTATACTTGCCTAAATGAAGTTAAATCTGAGAGTTTTTTTCCTTCCTGCTCTGCAGCTCATTAAAGATCAGTCTTATCTTAATTCTGTCACTTTCCACAATGCCTGCGTTTTGGTGCTACCCAGCTCTGTCTTCTAAGGTAAGAGTTTCACCTCTGTTTTTTATGGTTGTATATATGACTAGAATGGTAGAATATCTAAATTTAAAATTTCCTCAAGAGATCTGCAACAGAAAAGCCATTTATTGTATTTTTAGAGCTTTCAATGAAAAAAAGTGTAATCATTCAGATTCAGAAATCAATAGAAGGAAACATATATACGGTAGTAACACTGGACTACATTAAATTTGTTGTGAATTACTTAGGACTGGTTCCTGCATGGAGAAATATTCATTTCTATGTAAAACATTAATTTTTTGCCTATGTCAATTTAATTTTTTTCATATATATACATCTACTCATAATCACAGTGGCTATTTAGTCATTGAAATTATATAGATAAGATACAGTGGTCATTTTTCATAAGCAGTGAACTTCCTAATTTTACAGAGCAAACTTTCTCCAGATACAGAATATAGAAAAAATGCTAGATCTCAGGGAGATATTACATAAATATTAAACCATATATTTATTCAAAAGTATTGATTGAGTTCATGGAACTGTTCAAGACATTCAGAAAATAAGTATCTTTCTTTGGTATGTTTAACACTATTTCCATATGATATTTGAGTTTATTTTTATGTCAATATTTTGTTTAAAATTTCAAAATACCTTTGGTTGTTGATGACATTTTGAACTTTAACTTTCCTTCATTAAAACTTACACTGTCACATTGTAATTACTGAAATCAGTGTAATTTATGAGACTTCTTTAGGATAAAGAAATGTCATATAAATCCTAAATGATAAATTTGGGTTCAAAAATAGTACTCCAGTTATTTGTTTATTGGCCTTCTCACTAATCTTCACATCTGTCATTTTTCTCTTTCTTGTTTACTTAATATAGCTTCTCTTGCTCTGGCTTCCCTCCTATGAGCACTCAGCACTAATTTAGTCATTGATTCTATCAGACAGCACATTGATCAAGCTGATGAGTCACAATCCATAAATTGGTATATTTTCTCAAGTGTCTTCCTAATTACTTTTTATTCTTTCCCCAAAGGTTTACTCACGACATTTCTGTTGAACAAGAAGCACTTGTCTGTAGCTTTTTTATATAAAAAATTAAGAATATATTTTCTTCTAAAGTACTATGAAACCAACTTGCTCATAAATGAAATATTTCTCTTTTCACTAAATTTTCCATATTTCTGTTTTCTGCAAATGGTGACTTTGCTCTCTTCATAACTCTATCATGTGGTAATAGTGTGGATGGTCTTCGTGACAGTTTGGTAGTTTAGGGAGAATAATTATGCAGTCACATGACATATAAGATTTTATAATATTTATTTCAAACTTCATACAAGTCCACCAGCCAGGCTGATATTTAATATGATTCTGCTGATGATTCTATCCTAACAAGAGCTACCTTTAGTGCTCTAGCATCCTTTTTGTGATGGCTTAGGAATTTCACAACTAGAACTGGTATATTTCTTTTGCAATACAAAGGTGGCATCAAGAGTATTTCTGTAAGGAACTGGATTGCTTCCCTCCCTGAAGCGACTTATACCCCCCTCCTGCTGGAGATGTGAAAGAGATGGCGTTTATCTAGCATGTTTAGCTTCTGTTAGCCCAAGGGAAAATACATAGTAGTGCCCAACTAAGAATTTTTATTTATTTTTTTCCATAGCCAATATTTATGAAATGTCTCTGACTGCACAGATCAAAAAGAAAAAGACAAACAAGACCTTATTTTCCAGGAGGCCAGTAGAGACGGTTTCCCTGGATCTCTGACTACTGGAGACTTCAGTAAAGCACACAGCCAGGGCAAAGAATTCCGGGAAGCATTTTGTGTACTCTGGCCCCACTTCAACCTCCAAATACAGTGACTTGAAGCCAAACTTTTCTTCTTGCTCCAAGATAAAGTCTATAGTGTTTACTTTGTAGTATGCATCTTTATTTACAATGAAATTGTTTAGTTCTTATGGTACAGTTGAGAAACCTGAGCTTGTAGCCAAATGGCTCAGCATGATTGACTTTAGCTCCAAGTCACTTCATTTCCCCATCTAAAACTGAAGAATTGATAGGATTTGCTTCACAGAGCTTTTTAGGGGACAGACTAAGATGAGTTATCTAAAGCATGTGTCATGGTGATTACCAATAAGTTGTTACCTTTATTACTGATATTTTTATTAGTCCCTTGTTAATGAATTAGGATTCTTCTTTTTTAAAATTAATTTTACTGGTACATTTTAAGTATACAATGCACCTACATTTATCATTGGAAACTTGTACCTTTACATGATGTATTTGGTACTGGGGATTGAACTCGGGTCCTTGCACTTGCAAGGCAGGCCACCGAACCACTGAGCTAAATCCCTGGCTACATGATGTATCTTGATTGTTACTCTTTCCCTATTCCCCTGCCCTCCCTTCAACCCCTGCACCACTCTGTTTACAAATATTTTATTTCCATTTTTGCATGCAAATTCCATTCCCTTCTTTCCTTTCCCCCACCTCTCCCGCTTCTTCTCTTTTTCACCTTTTCTTCCTACTTCACATTATCCGTTACACATTTTGATTCTTATTTATTTACACTTTCAGTTTCTCACACCAGAGAAACTATGATTCTTCTGAAACAATGCAAAAGAGAAAAATGACAAGTGTTGACAGTGTCACCTGAGTCATAGGTGAGAAATTGTCAACTATGCCTATGGGCATGAACTGTGTGCTCTGGAGTTTGATCCACCCCATGGGCAGATAGAGGATGGAACCCAAAGTTCTTTAAGTCTAGTGTGAGCTCTGAGGTTTCAGACCTATTTCTTCTACCATTCAGTGCCTCAGTACCATCTTGTACTCTGTGGGCCTTGAATCCCTGATGACATATTGAGCAAAAGCTGAAAGGTAAAGATTTTAGGGTTCATGCACAAGGCTTTCTTATGGAGAACCTGGCAAGTAGCCTAGGAAAACCGGAGGGACTGTACTCTTCACTCAAACCAGAAGTCTGCCTCCCTGTCTGGTTTTCTGTGTGAATTTGAAACACAGTTCTCAAGACTCATTAGTGCCTCTTGAAATATTTCTTATAAAAAATAGCAATAAGATAACTGTGTTCAATGCATGATGTAAAGGCTGAATAGCAGCAATTAGTGTAAAAACTAGGCAAGTGGGTACATCATTCCAAATAATATTTTGTATCTAGATAAAGTATACATTGCATTTTAACAACATTTCCACCCTTAAGAAGATAAGCTATATTGGATTTATCAGCATAAAACTCTGGAAATTGTTACTGTTGAAATAAACTTTTAACCCTAGAGCTGTATTCTCTCCTTCCTTCCCCATCTGAATACCAGGTGTCTGGAAAATATGATTACTTTCTCATCCTGCTGAACAGCTGCCCAGCCAGGCTGGACGGGAGTGAGGGACTAGCTTTTCTAAAGCCAATTTTGGAGAAGACATCTATGAAAAGGTCCTTTCGCAATGGAGTTGGCACAGGAATGAAAAAAACTTCCTTTCGAAGAGCAAAACCATGAATAAGTGTGGGAAGGACTCTAGGAATTAATCTCAAAATATGTGGAGTGTGACTGATGTGCTAAAAGTCAGTTGTATCTTTATCATTAAGTGTTAGCTTGCTCCCAATTTTCCAATATTTTTCCTCTCCTAACTAGTTCATAGTAAATTGAGTAATTTGAAAATAAAATAGTAAACCTGTCCCAAACTTCTGCTTGTGGAAGAAAAAGCCACTTATGTACTCAGTTACTAGCGTTCTCAAAATTCATTTTGATTTTAAATTGGCCAAAATGTGTATTTTTACTGTGGTGACAATGGTATATTTCCTGCCTATAATGTTATAATATTTTGATATTAGAACGTTGAGTACTGCATTGTGGATATACACTATTCTTTCTTTTAACCATACTTGTTTTAAATGACTTAGCTGGACTAATTCTGTTGGGCTGTGCTACTTCAGTTTGTGAAAGTTTCTTAAAAGTATTGAAAATTATGATAGTGGTATAGTTATACCAATCAACTAATTAATACTTGCAACAAACATCATCATAGCCCCCTGATATAGTTCTTTTCTCCACTTTCCAATTTAAAATATACCTAAATATAGACTGTCATTTTGTCTTGGATTTTTTTTTTCTTTTTAAAATGTTATATGAAATGCTGTCAGTGACAATGACAAAAGAGATTTCTGATAGGCATGTGGGTGGGGGAGTTTGGGAGCTTGTTCCTCAAAACGGCCCATTGAGCCCAGATTCCTGTCCTCCTAGGAAAGACCACCACCACCCCATTCCATGGAAATGCTTGACACTGTGTTTTTGTTTTTTCAGGCTAATGCCTGATTGGTTGCTGTGTCATTGTTGTGTCATTTGTTGTTGTGTTCAGTTGTCTTGAATTCTGCCTGCCACACACTAATGGGTTCACGGAGAGCCACATACAGTTCCCAGACTGGGAGCTTCAGAAGCTGCAGAAATATACAGTCTTTGGTCACTGACTTCAGACAGAGACACAGGGTCCTCAGAAAATTGTACTCAGGGAGAGCAGGTCTCACGATAGCCAGGTAGGTCTCCTCACTCAAATGTATCCTACAAAAAGCAGCTTCAAATAGATCATGTTGAGGAAGTTTCCAGGAACTCACCCAGAAACACTAAACCTCTAAGGTCCTGTGTTTTATCCTTGTCTTTTGTGAGAATAGGTGGTTTCATGGATGTGGGTTTGTTGCAGCCAGAGTTTGCAAGGGAATAGATTTAATACAGGTCACATAATTTATGGGATTACTTTTTAATATTCGCCCAAAAAGTCAAGTGCAGAAGAGTGCAAGAGATGTATCCTTGTGCTAGAGACCTGAAGAATCTAGGTGAAGGCTTGGATCCTCTGGCAATGTCCTCCACGAGTCCAGCCCACAGCAAGATCTCATGCTTGTCTGTATCAGGTAGCTGCACTGGGGAGGACCAAAGGCCAGTGGTGAAAGCTAGAAAGTCTATGCCAGTGAGGTTAAAAAAACCCATGCCAGGTGGAGCCAGGAAGCAAGGCTCAAGGTGAAGACCAGAGCTCCTCTGGAAGAGAACAGCAGCCATTCCTGGTGACAGTGAGGACCTCAGCTCCTCCTACAAAGAGAACATCTGAGTTTGCATCTGGAAAACCAGGTGCAGGAAGCTTCTCTAGAAAAATCAGCAGTATGTAATCTTCCCCTCCTGTTCTCCTTTCATGCCATTCTGGCAACAATCCTCAGGTGAGTCGTCCATGCCCAAAATCACATAGATGTGGTTCAGTTGATCATTCGAAGTTTTGACCATTAGTTTATCCACCACAGTACTTACTTTGTTTTTGCTAACAAAACCAACACTACATATTTGGAGTTGAAATAACATAATATTGTAGATGCTCATTAGGGGAAGGGACATTGAATAATCAGGGGACATCAGGGAGATGTATTTTGGGAGGCAGAGAGGCGACCTCCAGAAGTAGAAGCCCTTTAGGCAGGACTCTCTGCCCCGCCCTGGTTACAGACTGTTTCTTGCCTCTCTCAGAGTCATTTTCCTCCATGCAGACTGAGAATCTGCAAGACCTGTGTCTATTTTCCCATGACAACAATCTTCCTTGGGCTTTATGTTGCTCTGCACAACTTCATAAGTCCAGTGCCGAACACCTGGACTAACACTTGATTTTCCTTTGAGGACATGGGTCCCCCGATGATGCTCTCCACAGAGCCAGAGGTGGAGAGGGGGAGGAGGGGGAGGAGGAGGAAGAGGTCACACTTGCCACTGTGTTTCCTGCCTGGCTCTCCTACTGTTTCCCAGATCCCAAAGCAAACCTGTTGCCTTCTGATTTGTCCTTTCTCTTATCACATAGTCATGTATAAGGAAAGTGGATGAAAACTCCAATTATTCTACATTATTCTTAATCTAATTCACTTTATTTTTCCGGGAGGAGGGGGAGGAGGAGGAAGAGGTCACACTTGCCACTGTGTTTCCTGCCTGGCTCTCCTACTGTTTCCCAGATCCCAAAGCAAACCTGTTGCCTTCTGATTTGTCCTTTCTCTTATCACATAGTCATGTATAAGGAAAGTGGATGAAAACTCCAATTATTCTACATTATTCTTAATCTAATTCACTTTATTTTTCCTAAGGTCACCTCCTACTCCTTATTTCTGTTCTACACACACACACACACACACACACACGGAGGGAGGGAGGAAGAAGGAGAGGGAGGGGCAAGGGAGAAGGAGAGGGAGGGGGAAGGGAGCGAGAGACAGAAGGGCAGGGGGAGAGAGAGAGAGAGAGCGAGCAGTTGAGAGTTACTTTTTTAGATCCAAAGATGAAATTTGGGTACGAATACCAACATGATCTGTCACCACCCCCAGCTCAGATGACAGAGGCTCAGGGTGTGGAGGTGGTAGGGGAAGGAAGAGTGAATACAGCGAAGGTTGCTCTTCCGGCTGTCCGCTCCCCTGTCCGTGGTCCTGGCCTTCCCTGGGTCACTGCCATACAGCAGTGTCCCTGGCACTTCCCTGACACTTCCTCCCATCAGCAGTGCATGCAGGGTTACACCAGAGTCTTGTGGCTCTGTGGCATGGTGGCTGTGCCTCTGCTCCCCAGACGCATGCTCCAGGCAGAGGGAGGCTCGCATGCAGGTGCTAAATAGAGGAGTCCGCCTGGAGACACGTTGGGGGTTGATATGTGAGCTTGCAATCATTGCTTCCCTTGACCACTGGTGTCAGTTTCCATTTCTGCTTGAGGGCTTCAGAGTGTCTAAAGTCATTGAGAAAAAAAAATTTATATTATATATATTATATTATATTTTTTCTTCCAAAAGTATATACACACTTTAGGAAAAGAAAAATAATATGATTTTTTTAACAGATGGCATTACCCACCCATGGGGACCCTAGAGGATGTTCTATTCCATATCACAGAAAATCCACAACACAGCCAGCCCTTAGAGAAGATATTGAAAATGCAACAATCTCAATGACCAAGGAGCAGTTCACCATACTAATAAACCTCTTATAATTGTAGAGGCTGAAGATAACTTGTATTAATCTCATGGGGTCCCAATAAATTTAGTATTCAAATATTTACACACATTTTTCATCTCCTGAAGTATACATATGATATATAAATGATATAGCTGACTAATGGCAGCTCCACTCTCCTTTCCCTTGACCCCCAGACCTGCTGTGTCTCTTAGAGAATCTGGATTCCTTCCTTAGCGGTTGCTGCCGGGCTCTGCAGCTCCAGGAGGCCTAACCCGCAATGTGTGAAGTACTTCCAGCCAAATGTAGAAGTTTTTCAGGGAAATTGGTATTTCTTATCTGCCCAGCACTATTGGTGAGGAAGCTAACTGGGTCGTCTGATAGGCATTATTTACTACTTCAAGCAGAAAACCAGTGACTGCATTAATAAGCTTGTGTTAACTGTAGTGTTGATGGGACACCTCGTGAATGGAAGAGGAAAGATTGCTATTTCGGGGGACTCTTCCTAATTTCCTATTATTTGCATTTATATGGATTTGTTGGAATAATAAAATATCAAAACCATAATTGGAAAAATTCTCTTCCTGTTTCTGGATCTAAAATATCTTTTTAACCTCTAGGGGAAAAGCACTACGTTAAAAACTATTTGCACTCTAAAAATCATAGCAGATCACAAATGGGCAGACAAAGAGGAAAATTTGCCTTCTGAGGGAAAATTATACCGCTTACTAAGGTGTGAGGAACAAAAATGTTTCAGACAAATAGGCAGTGGGATTGCAGCAGCCATGAAAATAAAATCTTTGGATGGAGTTGGAGAAACATATAATATACATGTAACATAACCTATTTATAATATACACGTAATATAATGTATTTATATATATTATATAACATAAAACATACATGTAATATAATATATATATGGACAATTTGGCAAAAATTTTCCAGGGAAATTGATATGTTTTGTCTGACTAGAGTTATTGCTGGGGAAGCTAAGTAAATAGACTGGTGAATATTATTCAATGTGATGTATACATTGCAAATAATATAATATATATGCATATATAGCACATACATGTAGTAACATATTTCCATATGGGGTGTATACTATTTCAGGTAATTATATACACACTTATATAGGATTCTAGGTGATATTAAAGAGAAAGAGCTAGGAAGAGAGAATGTTGTTGGGTAGAAATGGGGAAGTATGTTCTGATGCAGTGGTTAGAAAAGATATCTCTACAAAGGATTAGTAAGAATTCCCAAAATTTTTGGAGCAAAATGAGCATGTAGAGAATGAAAAGAAATAAGACCAGACAAATAAGGGGATTTCTGAAGAGTCTTGGGAGTCTTTCTTTTTCTCTGAATGACACAAGAACCCCTGGAAGTTATCAGCAGGGAAATGGCATTGCCAAATATATCTTATGGCCTTCATGAATTCACGAGAATGAGAAATTAAACATACAAACAGTAAGCTTCTGGAAAAGTAGCAGTAATTCATTCTGCGAACAACACCTAGGGACGAAGATGTCTTCTTTCCTCAGCTGCTTC